ACATACACACACACACACACACACACACATACAGTTGGTATAGGAAAGGGTTAGAGCTTAAACGGTAAAGAAGAAATAAGGATTGAAATTATGGAACCATTTGCATATTCAGCAGATCTACACCTGAGGGAAACGTCAGATTCTTAGTTCAAACACACCTTTGTAAAAAGGTGCAACTGATACCTAATGTATCAATTAATAAGACTAAGTTTGATACTTGCAAGTCTCGTCTGTCTGAAAGAGATTCCTGATGCAATCTTAAGGCCCAAGATCTTGCTGAAGTTGGTTGATGAAAAAGAACCAGTTTGAGTCAGAGAATCTTGGTGAAATGGAAAGGTCGAGGCCGAAGCCTGGCATAAGCTTAGAGTTTCCGGGTGCGTTTTTCTCACATCATCTCAGAATTAAAGCAAACCACCGACTGTAGGAGGGTCCCTGGTGTGGGCCTTTAAGGCTACTGCAGGATAAACACTGTACACTCAACACACTCAAGTGAGTATCTTACATCATTTCACATGTTACATGACTAGTAATGTTACAGTAGTCTATTTTAATTCTCATTTGAGTCCGACCCCACGTTATAAAGCTTGGAAGAGCCAGGACATTTTTAATATAACTCTGATTATATTTGTCTGAAAGAAGAGCTTCATATACATCTAGGATGGCTTGAGGGTGAGCAAATCATGGGGTGATTTTCATTTTTGGGTGAACTATCCCTTTAAGTGCACAGCGGTTGGAGAAAATAATGTGAACACATTAGAAATAGCCAGTATTTTATTAATGTGTTTGCCATCGTTTGCCTTTAATACAGCTTCCAACCTTCTTAGAATAGATTCATACAACTTTTGAATAGACTTCAGTTCAGTTTAGTCTCTAACTTCTGCTGTGACTGCTGAATGTGATCATGTTTACTGACTACAAACTGAGGATTGAAGACTCATTTAAAAACATTGACCACCAACCAGTAATACCTCCCTCACAGATGAACTGAACCCCTTTAATGCTTGCTTTGATCGTATAAACACAGAAGCACATCGAAGCTGAGCCCCACACGACGACCTGCCGCTCTCTTGTTTAACCAGTGAGGTGTGCTTCTACCTGAGCAGGTGAATGCACATAAAGTGTCTGGCCCTGATGGTCTTCCTGACCGAGTGCTCAGGGTCTGCACAGAACAGCTGGCTGATGTCTTCACACACATTTTCAAGCTCTACTTGGTCCCCACCTACTTCAAAACAGTCACCATTGTACCAGTCCCAAAACACTGCAACGTTGCACTCCATAAAAAAAAAAAAAATTGACCGTATATATGCATATTCATATTCATATATATAGTGCCATTTGCACTTCTGGTTAGATGCTAACTGAATTTCATTGGCTCTGTGCTTACTCTGCACAATGGCAAAGTTTAATCAAATCTAATCTCATTACTGGTATGTCACTTTTTTGTAATTTTTTCTTTTCTTTTTTTTGTGACAACTGAACTGTTCACAACTGCTTTCAATTTTCCCTTCCCTTTCAACTGCTTTTAATTAGTATTTCATAAAATGTAAAATGTCTAATTAAAGGGCACCTATTATGCAAAATCCACTTTTACATGGTGTTTGGACATAAATATGTGCTGGCAGAGTGTGAGCACAACCACCCTACAATGATAAAAATCTGATTAGACCAGCTGTTTCGATTTTCTGAGCAGTGTGACATCACATTGTTTAGGCTCCGCCCATGGCTGATGACTGACAGTGCTGCATTACCGTAGTTTCTGCTCTCAGAGAGTTGTTTGGTTGTACCATAGATATGTACAGGTAGATGCCACATTCGACCGCTCCAGATACATTGAGAGTGTGAGCACAACCACCCTACAATGATAAAAATCTGATTAGACCAGCTGTTTCGATTTTCTGAGCAGTGTGACATCACATTGTTTAGGCTCCGCCCATGGCTGATGACTGACAGTGCTGCATTACCGTAGTTTCTGCTCTCAGAGAGTTGTTTGGTTGTACCATAGATATGTACAGGTAGATGCCACATTCGACCGCTCCAGATACATTGCATTACGTCGGCCATCTTGGAATGTTCTGTCGTCACTCACAATAACAATCAATGAGTTTCAAGATGAACAACGTAGATGCAGCATCTGGGTGTAAAAACTGATGAAATTTTAATTCCTGAAGAAACTGGATAAACTTTCACAGATAAGAATGTGTTGGTTTGTGGTTTTAATCAGTATTAACTCAATATTACAGATTTTTAAACTAAAGTGTATTTTAAATGCCTTGTTAGCTGACGGCTTCGTCTTGTTTTATTGTGTTAGTTTAGCAAAAGCATCTTCTGAAGTCTACTGAAGATATAAATAT